CCCCCCTCCAATTTAAACTTGGCTTTTCCATTTTTACATAAATGTCCTCTGTCACACATCCTGTGAACAAGTCCTCACTGTCTCAACTGTCTTCAAAGGAGTGACCTTTTTCCAGAGGGTTTGGCTCTTCTATGCTGTGCCATACGCTGGTGTAGCTGCTGTTTTGTTTCACCGACATACAATTCTGAGCACTCCTCACTGCAATGTTGTTCATCTTGTGTTTTGGTGTTGGGTCTTTTGGCTGAACCAGTTCTGAATTGAGAAAGCTGGTTAGATGACCAGTGAAACGTCTTCAAGAAAAATACAGCAAGTCCAGTTTGCTTGACTTATTTTTTACAGATGTGCCATGACCTGGATGAATGAGAACCTTCACAGACACCTGGTTTGTCCTGTTTATTCTCTACACATGCCTGTAAATGGAGAACAACCAATCCGGCTTCTGCCTTCTCAAATTGGAAGGTTTGGATTGGCTCATTAGGCTGCTGCTGTAGATGTTGTGGCAGCTCTGTTTAGTGATCTGCTGACTGGTTAGGCAGTGTGTGTCTGTACCCCTTCCACCGCAGCTGCCTCAAATGCTGTCTGTGCTTTCCTGTTCAGGCCTGCCTGAACAGGCTAGTGTTTGCGTCTGCCATGTGAGATATATACGGGGCTGCCATTGCTGTTTCTAAAATGCAGTTTACCTGGCTGTAGTGCTGACTCTCTGGATTGGGAGCTGTCAGTCCCTGTCCTGCAACAAGGATGGGGAAATTCTCAACATATCCCCATACTACTTTTGAGTCAAAAGTTCAGCAAGTCAGCCTTTTCAGAGGGTGTGTGTTCAGCAGCTCACATGATGAGTTTTCCAGCATCCTGTTACTGATACTTTTTTTTTTTTTCCTCTCTTTTCAGATGGGAAGCCCATGCTGCGCCAGGGAGACACTGGAGATTGGATTGGAACGTTTCTGGGCCATAAGGGGGCGGTCTGGGGGGCCACACTTAACAAAACTGCGACAAAAGCTGCTACAGCCGCTGCAGATTTCACAGCGTAAGTATAGAAGACGATGGAGAATGACAGATTCTCATTGGGGGGAGGGGGGTGGCGGCTCTGCCTCTCTAACCTTAACAAGATGACCCTGTCATGCTTTGGGGGAGTTAGGGTGTCATCATTGGCTTTGTCTGTGAGGCTGATCAGTGGAGAATGGGGCAGGAGTGGAGCTGGCAGTTGGTTATCACCTGAGCTTCTCTCCTAGTCTCCACAGACTGTGGTAGGGAGAAAATAGGAATTCCTTTGTGTAGGGACACTGGACACCATTGCCTTCAGCCAACAGACATTAAAGAGTCTTTATTGAATCTCTGCCCATGGTAAAAGGTGTTTATTCCTCCTGGAGGCGGTCACACTGACTCTGTCTTCTCTTGCAGGAAGCTCTGGGATGCTGTCACAGGGGATGAGCTGTTGACTTTGGCACACAAGCACATTGTGAAGAGCGTTGACTTCACCCAGGTAAATGCATCTGCCATGTCTATAAAAGGTGCATTGTAAGGTAGTGGTTTATTTTTTTCTTAGTATTCAGAGCTCTATCGGTATGCATTTCCTGTGTATCCTATTTAGAACCTGAATCACAAATGTCTTGCCCTCAGTATGGTTTACAGAATAAGCTGCTGGCAGTATAGTTGACGTGCTTACAAAAAAAGTGTGTGTGTCTTTATGTAATTATGTAAAAAAACTTACTAATCCATGTCATTTTGGTGATCAAATGCGGACAGTATTTTGCTCCTTCGCCACATGTGTCATTATCAATGATTGGGTACTTATGATCGGTGCGGAGGGGATTGCTGGCCTATCTCTGATAACAAGATCTGACCAAGAGTGCCTGTGAATTGGGGTGTAGTCCCGCCTGTATACAAAGTGGGATTAGCGAGTCCAGAGCTTCATGAAAAGGTCTTTATAAAAGGTGACTGGTTTGGAGTGATGGAGGGAAATATTGTCAGCGTTTCATCACCAAATGATATGGACTATTAAACTTTTGTAGATTATAGAAGTGTTAACACTAATTCATGTTTTTTGAACAGATTTGAAATATTTGACTATTTA